TAGTACAGTATATCCATACGGATGGAATACTACTTAGCAATAAAAAGGAACCAACTACTGAAAGAGCAACGTGGATGAATCTCCAAATAATTACGCTGAAAGAAACCTGTACACAAATAATACATATTGTATAATTCCATTTACAAGAAGTTTTAGAACAAACTAAATTTATGGTGAAAACCAAGTTAGAGCAGAGTTGCCTGAGGATTGAGGGTGGGAATTGAGTGGTGCAAAGTGACCTGAGGAAACTTTCTAGGTGATGATAATTATGTTCTTAGAACTGTGCAATGAAGAAAATGTCCCATAGCTTCTAGCCACATGCAACTACTGAGCATTTGAAGTGTGGCCAGTACGACTCAAAAATTGAATTTTAGGGCACCTGGATGACTCAGTCAATTGAGCATTGAACTTTGGCTCAGGTCATGATCCCACGGTTCTTAGGTTCAAGCCCCACCTCAGGCTATGGGCTGACAGCGTGAAGCATGTTTCCCTCTCTCTATCTCTGCCCCTCCTCCGCTCGTTCGCACGGGCGCACTCTCTCAAAAAAATAAATAAAAAATAAAAGAAAACCTTTAGAAAAACAAAACTGAAGCTTAAATTTCATTTAATTTTAATTCATTTGAATTTAAAATTAGCCACATGTGGCTGGTAACTACCATATACAGCATGGTTTATATCCTGATAAGGACTTGGCTGCACAGATACATGTGTTTGTCAAAACTCTTCTCATGATAAGCGTAAGAGTTGTGCATTTCATCATTTGTGAAGTTTACATTAAAAAGATAAGCATCAGGGCACCTGGGTTCCTCCGTCCAACTTCAGCTCAGGTCATGATCTCACAGCTCCCGAGTTCGAGCCCCGCGTTGGACTCTGTGCTGACAGCTCAGAGCCTGGAGCCTCCTTCCGATTCTTTGTCTCCCTCTCTCTCTGACCCTCTCTCGCTCATGCTGTGTCTCTCTCTGCCTCTCAAAAATGAATAAACATTTAAAAAAAATTTTTTTTAAGACAAGCATTAGGGGGTGCCTAGGTGGCTCAGTCGGTTAAGCATTGCACTTTGGCTCAGGTCTTGACCTCAAGGTTCCTGAATTGGAGCCCCACATCAGGCTCTCTGTTGTCAACATAGAGCCTGCTTCAGATCCTCTGTCTCCCTGTTTCTCTGCCCCTGCCCCCCTCAAAAATAAATAAACTTAAAAGGGGGGAGGGGACTTGAAAAAAAAGATAAGCTTTAGGGCAACTGGCTGGATCAGTCAGTAGAGCATACTTGACTCTTGATCGTGGGGTCATGAGTTCAGTCCCCACATTGGGTGTGGAGCCTACTTAAGAAGAAAAAAGCATAAACCCTAGTTAATGCTATGCATGTTAAAGTGTTTAGACATGAAATGTACTGTTGTCTGCAACTTCAAAATGCATAATAGATGGATTCACGAATGTTGAGATGGACAGATGATCAGACATGATAAAACATTAATTGTAGCATCTTGGTGGTGGGTTTATGGGTGTTCACTGTACAATTCTTTCAACCTTTCTGTTTATGTTGGAATATGTTCAGAATAAAATGCTGGAGTTCTCAAGGGCTGAGAGGAGAAAGGAGTGGGGAGTTATTTTCTCATGGGTACAAACTTTGTTTGGGATGATGAAAATTTTCTAGAACTAGTGGTGATGGTTATGCAATGCTTGAAAGTACTTAATGGCAATGAGTTGTACACTTAAAAATGGTTAAGGGGCACCTGGGTGGCTCAGTCAGTTAAGCATCCGACTTCAGCTCAGGTCATGATCTCATTCATGAGTACAAGCCCCGCGTCGGGCTCTGTGCTGACAGCTCGGAGCCTGGAGCCTGCTTCGGATTCTGTGTCTCCCTCTCTCTCTCTGCCCCTTCCCTGCTTGTGCTCTCTCTCTCTCTCTCTCTCTCTCAAAAATAAACATTAAAAAAAAATTTTTTTTTAATGGTTAAGATGCTGGGGCACCTGGGTGGTCGATCAGTTAAACATCAACTTCAGCTCAGGTCATGGTCTCGCAGTTCCTGAGTTTGAGCCCCATGTCGGGCTCTGTGCTGCCATCTCAGAGCCTGGAGTCTGCTTCAGATTCTGTGTCTCCCTCTCTCTCTGCTCCTTCCCCATTCGTGCTCAGTGCCTCTCTGTCTCTCAAAAATAAATAAACATTAAAAAATGGTTAAGATGGTAAAATTTTGATGTTATTTACATTGTACAATTTTTTTTTTTAAGTTTGAAAGCCAAAAGGAAAAAAAAACACTCGGGGAAAATCCATGTGGAAGTGTCTGTGCCTTCTCTAGAGGCAGTTAAGGGTACTGCACAGAAAGAAAGGGGAAGGAAGCAGGCTGTTTGTCGGTGTGCTGGGCCCATTTTGAGCAAAGGGTAGCGGGAAGAAAGAACAGAGGCTTTAGAAACAGACCTGGGTTCATAATCCTAGCTCTTTTCACGTTGTAGTTGTGACTGTACTTGTTTCTTAGTGCTGTTGCTGCTGTAACAAATTACCACAAATTTAGTGACTTAAAGCGACATAATCTATTATCTTGCAGTTCTAGAGGTCTGACATGTGTCTCACTGGGCTAAAATCAGGACCTGTGTTCATTCTGTAGATTCTAGGGAGGAAGAACCTACTTTCTTGCCATTTCCAGCTTCTAGAAGCCTCCTGTATTCTATGTCTTGATTCATGACCCTTTTCTCTGTCAAAGCCAGCAGTAACCTCTTCAAATCTTTCTCTGTTTCTCACACACACCTCTGCTTCTTTATCTCGTCTCCTGTTCTCTCTTGCTTTCCTGTTTGCTTTATAAGAATGCTTGTGATTCCATGGCCCACCCAAAAATCCAGGATAATCTTTCCATTTCAGGATCCTTAATTTATCACATCTGCAAAATCTCTTTTGCCATGTAAGGTAACATATTCATAAATTCTGGGGATTAGGATGAGGGCATCTTAGGGAGACCATTATTCTGCCTACCACAGTGATGTTGAGATTTTTCCCATGCCACTGGGGACTGATATGTCAAGATAGAACTGAAGAGGAAAAATATTTCTCCTGATTTTTTTTTCTAACAGTTTTATTGAGATATAATTCATATGCCAAAAAATTTGCCCATTTAAAGCATCAGTTCAATGGTTTTTAGTATAGCCACAGAGTTCTACAATCAATGAAAATTTTCATCTTTGACCATTTTTATATATGAGGAAACAAAGTAAACTTGCTTAGAGTAACATCTAACTGGCAGGGCTGGGTCATGGCAGCAGCTGTCAGGAGCTGAGCTTCCAGTCCAGGCCTGGATTCCCTTCATGAAATTAGACGAGTCACCTGGGAGCAGTGTGGCATAATAGTTAAACAGCAGGTGTTCACGCTGGGTTAGACTTGGGTTCAAGGCTTTGCTTTGCTATCTACAAGCTATGTGATCTTTGGTAAAATCTCCTGGAGCCTTGGTTTCCTCATTTGAAAAATGAGGACAAGCCAATAAAGGAGGGGGCTGACTCACCAGTAAGATCCCTTCCAGCTATGTAATTAGAAGCGTCAATGAGGGGGTTGAAAAGATAATTAAAAATACATTCTCTGAGCAGCCAGTGCATTTGACAAAAGGGATACGAACTCCCTGAAGACAGAGGCTCACATGCTTCCTTTGTACTCCCTGAGCACCTGACACAGGTCTAGGAATTCCTGAACGATGGGCCTCAGCCTGCTTGGAGACAAATGCATAAAATGACCCTTACAGAGGCAGAGAAGGATGAAAAGAGGGGTAGGGGGCGGGGGCAGAGGAAGCTACAGGCCTTTGGGTGGTCGGCCCAGGGGTCCAGGAATCGGCAAGCGCCAGGTGAAGGTAAACACGGGTGGGAGGGATCAGAGGCAGCTCATCCCCCAAGGCCAAGTTCAGCCGCTGTGTGGGGGCTAAAGCAGAGAAAAAGTGTGTTGGAGGCACCGTTCTGAAAACAAATCTTCAAGCCGCGTTGTGTGACGCGACACCACGCATCGCCTTGCTGCAGCCCTCCGCCCCTTTCCACTTCCACTGGTCCACCGGCTTTGGTATGCTCGCCCACCACTATAAGCCTCCTGCCTCCAGCTTGCGATTGGTACAGCCCAAGCTCTGGGAGTTGGAACCCAATGAAAGACACGCCCGTTGTCACGCCCCTGCCTCTGATTGGCTGGAGAATTTAAAGATCCGGCCGGTGATAGGATGATTCTCTACTCCTAGATTTGAAAGTTCCTAGTGCTCAAGTTTAGTTAACTGGCTGGCTCTGCTCAGCGCGTTCCTCCGAGTGCCGGTGCAAGTGAGTGTCCACGCGATCCCGGAGGTGGGAGACAAAGTTCTGCTTTTTTCAAAAGGTCTCTGCCGGGAGGGTGCAGACGAGTGGGTCAGACGGAAGAAACAGGGATTCCTGGGCCCCAGGATCCCTCGAGATTTTCGCTGGCAAATATTCTCCACCCTATGCCCACTTTAGAGATTGTGAAGAAGAGTCAGAGCTGCGGAATCACACTAACCCTGACTCCTACCAGTCGTTGTAGCCCCTCAGTCTGTTTCTATTTCTGTACACGGGAAATAGATTGACCTGGCTGCATATAAACTGGTGAACATATCTGGAGGAAAGAAGGTGCTTATTACAAGTCAGCCCCCTGCTCATCCCTCCTCGTGCGCTTCCCCTTCTTCTTTGGGAGAGGACTGAGGATTCCTTTGTCCGCCCTGGGCCTCTTGGAAACAGGTTTCTCTTTTGTTACGGAGCCTGCTTGTCAGACAGCCGAGGCTCTCCAATCCTGGGTGCATTTGATGCTGCCCATCCACCATTCTGGAAATTACTGCGTAGGAGAGTAATGTCTCTGTGAATTCTGGTTGGCCCAGGTCTCTCACCGTCTCCATGACCTCTTTGTGTTACCAGTGACAGCCTCCGTGACCTTATTTGGCGTTGACCGGGCTCCCGTCAAAGTCTCTATACCACCTATTATGCCCCTGAGTCCTCGTGACCCCTGTGCTTCCGGCCTCTTGCAGACCTCCGGAGGCGGTGGAGATGCTGTCGGGCACCCAGGCAGCGCCAGTGGAATTCGAGGACGCAGAGCTGCGGTGTCGCGTGGCTGTGGAGGAGCTGAGCCCCAGCGGGCAGCCGCGAAAGCGCCAGGCCCTACGCACCGCGGAGCTGAGCCTGGGACGAAATGAGCGCCGCGAGTTGCTGCTGCGGCTGCAAGCGCCTGGGCCCGCGGGGCGGCCGCGCTGCTTCCCTCTGAGGGCGGCGCGCCTCTTCACGCGCTTCGCAGCGGCCGGGCGCAGCACACTATGGCTCCCAGTCGACGGCGCTCCCCGCGCGGGCGCTGTGCAGCTGCTGCTCTCCGACTGCCCCCCCGACCGCCTGCGACGCTTCCTGCGCACGCTGCGTCTCAAGCTGGCCGCAGCCCCGGGCCCTGGACCGGCCTCCGCCCGCGCACAGCTGCTTGGCCCGCGGCCCCGAGACTTCGTCACCATCAGCCCAGTGCAGCCGGAGGAGTTGCGGCGCGCGGCGCCCACCGGCGTCCCGCACGCCACGCCCGTGAAGCGGCCGAGGGAGCTCCGGGCGAGATCTGAGCCCAGCAACGTGAGGACCGGAAAGCGGGGACGCCTTAGGGAGTGGTTGTGCCACTGAGATGGAAGAGACCCAGGAGGTCCAAGTTTGGGGTTGGGGGGAGGATGGTGGCAGTATTCGAGGAGGTTGCTGGTTATCTCAGAGGAGATGCCCATCAGAGGTAGGAGGATGACAGAGAGATGAGGGTTGTGCGTATTTCCCATAGTGCAATTCCTGAGTAAACTAGAATGGGAAAAGAGGCCCAGGTCACGTTAAAAGGGAAAGAGAAGGAGGCCTAGAAAGAAAGGTGACTTTAGAAGAAAAAGTAGGAAGCTATTCAGCCTGGAGAAGGAGAGAAGCTTTTGAAAAAAAGAATTGGTCAGCAGTGTCTGGGCAGCCAACGGGTCTGATCATATT